GCCACGCTCCGCCCGCTCCCCTCAGCGCTCCCCAAAATGGCGGGCGGCCTGAGGGGGTTTGACACGCCCCCTTCTCCACACCGCGCCCGGAGCTCCCTCAGGCCCCGCCGCCTCGCCCGGACCAGGAAGAGGACGGGGCGGGGCCAATATCCGGTGCCGGCATCCGGTGCCGCCGTGGGGGGCTTGTCACAGGGCAGGCGGAGGGATGGGAGTCCCTGCACAGGGCAGGAGCGAGAGGGATGGCTCCGGCTCTGTTTAACGAGCTCGCTTGCCAGCAGCGTTTAGCGGCCTCAGTGTGGTAGCTACGAGTGCCTCAATTTTTCAGACTTTCAGGAGAAGGGAAACAAAAATAACACAGATGTGGAAAGGTATGCAGAAAGTTGTGCCTTCCACGTGTTATTTTAGCACTTGGGGTGCGGGTCGCTGTAGCTGCCTGCCTGCCTGGGTAGGTATATTTGCAGTCTGCCATCCTTTAGCATGGCCACAGCCACCTTTTTTTAAATAAAAACTGACTTGGGCTAGGCGTAGGATTACCTGGTCTGACCCAAGCCTCCCACAGCACTTACTGTGGGAATAAGATCACAAAAGGATAGTGGCAAATGAGCAATTGGTCATGGTTTTGGAGGAGAAGTGCAGTTTCAGACAGCTCTGTTGCCTGAAGCAGTGCTGCAGTGGGTCCTGTCATGGTGGCCCAAGGGCGATGGGCTGAACCATCCTCATGAGCACTGGGCCGCACTGGGGAACACAGTTTGCTTCTGGTCAGAGCATTACCTGGGGACATGTCATAGCCTTGCAGAGAAATTGCATAGGATACAAACCTACTTTCAAATGACTGAAGGCAGGAGATTACATACAATTCTAGCAGTGGGTGAGCTTGGGTGGTTTTGCCATGTGCAGATCCTTCCACTGGTACCACAGGGATTGGTGAAGATGGGAGACAGACGGGAAAAAGACAAATATAGTTTGAACTTAGCATTCTGTATTTTGTTTAGAGAACTTTAGTAACTGTGGCTGTGTATGTGCACTGTCTATTCCCCAAAAAATCCCAGAAATGCTGCAAACTCCAAGAGAAACTGCTGCCTGCTGGCTCTTAGTTGATTCCAGAAACTCAGACATAAAAATTATTTGGGCTAAATAGATGAACCTGTCACAGGAGCATAGATTGCAACTCAAGGAAAACCCTGAAAGTGAGTCTGAAATCAAAACTAGGAGCTGTAGCCACTTGGTTTCTTTTCCTCACTTTGCCACTGACCAGTTTTATCACCTTGAGGAGGTGCTTGTCCTTCTGTTTTCTCCACCCGCAAGACAGTTTAGCAGTTTATATCCTCTAAAACTTTCCGTTGAGGTGATTATATTAATGTCCAGAGAATTGTCTTTAAAAAGTATTCACTGTAGCAAATTTTTAAAGACATTGTATAGTTTTTATGCCTACCTTCATTCCTTTGGCCTTTTGAAAGATACATTTTCTGTATCATTGAATACAGGTAGGATTCACCTCCTCCCTATTGCCCTTTCTCTAAGCACACATCTTTCTGGTGCTGTTGCAGGCTGGTGTTGCTACCTTCTTAGAAGGACTGAGGAAAAGCACTCCCTTGAGCAAAGGCGTATCAGCTCCCTGCAGAATGTGATCCAGCTGAGGCTGGAGATAAATGCCCTTTCTGAAAAATAAAAATGCTGTTTGGTGCTAAACCACATTAAATCAACTGCAAAGATGAAGTAACCAGTGAATTTATTATTTCAGGTACATTTCCCTTTTGTGATGAAAACCCAGGGTGGAGTGGGGAGAGGGATAACATTTGAGTTTAAAAATAAATCTGAACATGAGATCTCTTAACACGGTCTTGACCACTGAAGGCTAAGAATAACCCCATAGAAGTTGCACAAACTGAACGAGCAGTTTGCATTGTTAATTGCAAGTGAACACAACGTATATTTCTACAGAAAGAAACTATCCAAGTTAGACATCTATATCTATTTATTTTCTGAATTAAATTTAATAGATGATGTCACGTGTGTATATGCTACCAAGTGTTCCAAGAAAGATGCAGAAAAGATGTGTCTACCTTGAAGACACCTCTGATTGCCATTTTAATAGCTAATTCACAATGCTCATTTAGCCACCTGTTGCTTTCATTTAGCATAATGAGACACACTGAAATGTATTTATTTTTTGATTAAAGCAAATGGTGCTGACAGCAGACCTGGCCAGGGGGAGGGTGGCACTTTGTTTTGGGAAACATGCTGTAGAGCAAACCAGTATCAGCATCCTGCATACACAGGGCCTTAGTGGCACTGACCAGCCTCACCCAGCTCTTACTGCTCTCCCTCAGGACAAGGAAGCCAGCACAGCCAGGCAAAGACCTCACCAACGGGGCACGATCTGACCACACCAAACAAAAGCAAGCAAAGCAGTGGCAGCAACAGCTCCAGCAGTCCAGTGACCATCAGGCAAAGACAAGGTAACAAGTCATTTCCAGTGTCAATCCAGGAAACCTAACAACAATTCTGGAGCAGAACTAGCAGCAAAGACACCTACAACTACCTCTGTCATCCCAGCAATAGAAATATATGGACCTGTTCAAGCAGGCTGAGAGAGTTGGGGTTGTTTGTCCTGGAGAAGAGAAGGCTCCAAGGAGACCTTATAGCAGCTTTCCAGTACTTAAAGGGGGCCTACAGGAAAGATGAGGAAGAACTCTTTATCAGGGAGCGTAGAGATAGGATGAGGGTAACAGTTTTAAACTGAAATAAAGTAAGTGTAGATTAGTTGAGTTTGAATTGCCTTTGGAGAAAACCTTGTGTGAACCTGTCCATGCTTGGGCTCTTTGCCAGTTGTTTCTCCCCAAGATACGTTTGTGGGATATTTTCAAGGATATTCAAGAAGTATGGTCTCAATCTGACCTGATGAAAGAGGCTAGGAAAGGGCTAAAATGGAAGATAGGTTCTTGTGAGACCTTGTTCCCATCTGTGCTTTATATGACACTACTTATATTCTGATGTTTTCTTCCCATGACAACATCTGCGCAAGAAACTGAGGATGGCATGAGTGCAAGCTGTTTTTTGTTAAGTGAGAAAGGATGCATGCCTCTTCCCTTCTCTTTAGCATTCATTTGAAATGTTGCTGGATGGCTCAGTTTTGAGCACTGTCGCTTGGTATTCAGCTCAGCTTGCCAGTGTGTCCTGAAAGCTCCATAATTATACTTTTCAGGAGCAAGAAAGTGCATTAAAATAAACTAGTCAATTCACATCTTGGTTTCTGAAAACTACGTACTGTCCTCAGTTTGCTCTTGAAGTCAAAACACTAACTCACAACTGTCGCAATAAAACTCTGACGACTCCTGAAATGCGTGGGCTGCAGACAGTGTATCGAATAATGAAATAATAATCTAAAAATATGCACCAACAGAAAGGTGGGTAAGCCCGTAAGCCTACAAAGTCTGATTTTCCTTGAAGAAAAAAAAGAGCCAGTGACTAGCTAGATAAAAATGCAATCCTGTCTTTACCTTACATTTTGTGCATAGATTGATTCTCCGTTTGGCTTGTGATATAATGGTGCAGTGGATGACATGAGACACAAGAGAGCAACTAAATTTATGTTCTGTCTCAGTACTTTTGTGCTTATGAATATGAAAAATGAGTAAAGATAGTCTTCTATTTCTTGTTGGCTTTATATAAATTTGAACTGAAAAGATGTTCACTTCCTTTTCCTTTCTCATTTGGATGTAGTGCTGTACCTATGAGGGATGATATTTCTGTTACTGTAGGGAACTGTGAAAATTAGATGGAGAATATTTTGAGGAATAATTCCATCATATTACTGTGATTCAGAGATGCTTGGTCTGAGAAAATAAGAGAGGAACATTTGGCAGGCAGATTTAAATAGTATACTTTGAAATATTTCATCACATCACTTCTATATCCTTTGAATTGTCTCTTTGTGGGCTTGTTACTTGGCGGTGGGGATTGTCAGATAGCCTACAGATACACAGTGAAGGGGCTGTTCGATCTTCTCCTCCTCAGGGCTGACTGGCAGAAGACAGGCGCTGAAGGAGCATGGATGAACTACATCCACTGCCTAAATATTTTACATCTGAAGTGGAAGGGGAGGCTGTGGCTTAGCTAGAATGAGTGTTATGCCACTCTGTGATCTGATAACTCTCAAGGATTTTCCTGAATTTTGCAATATTTGATGGTGTGCCTTGAAGCCCCAGATTCTGGAATTATGCAATCATTATTTTTATCCTCC